TCTAGTAATCTTACTTTTTATTGCTTTTGTCTCAAGCAAATGTAACTATATTTATCTAGTCTTAAGAATATTGGAATGTGTATAATCCACTTTAGAAGGATATACACCAAAGAGACAAAGTGAGTAGTATTTCATAGCATATTTGTAAATATCATTTAGGTGAGCTTGTCATTTCTTTGTTCCCAAATGAGACAGACATCTCAGAAAAAAGAGACCAATGTGTTTCCTCACTTGGCCAGGTAGTATACCAATAATGAGAACAGAAATTTAAATATTTGACCAGCAAATTCTCCATAATCATGCATATTCAAATTTCTTTTCTTTTGCTCCCATAATAAAAAAAGACAAACATGATGATAAATAAGTAGAGCCAATATTTCTCACAGCAATAGAACAGTATTTAATTTATACTGGCATTAATCAGGTGTGATCTAGAGTGCTAAATACATTATTCACACAGATTTTTGTGGGCTCTGAATAAATACAGCATTATTCACACAATGGCACCTTATGCTATTATAAAGACAATTGAGCTAAAAATAAATTAATAAAAGTGCCATGCAAATACAACTGAGTCATGTGGACTTTTTATTGTCTAACACACACTATATAATAATAATAGACCCTTGTATTTATAGACTGATTTTCTTCAAGGAACTCAAAAAATTTTCTAGACATAGTTTTATTTTTATTTTTATTATTTTTAAAATGTTTATTTATTTATTTTGAGAGACAGAGTATGAGTGGGGAGGTATAGAGAGGGAGAGAGGGAGAGAGAATCCCAAGCAGGCATGGTGCTGTCAATGCAGATCCTGATGCGGGACTTGATCTCAGGAATCGTTAGATTATGATCTGAGCAGAAATCAAGAGTTGGTCACTTAACTGACTTAGCCACCCAGCCAACCCAAGACATAGTTTTAATATGCATGTTTCACAACTACAATAAGACATGAAAAAAAGAGAAAACAGGTACAATATCAAAGAGGGATTTTGTTTATTCATCACCTCTTTAATAAGGTAACTGTATTTTGTAACAAAAATATTCAGTATTATAGAAATGATTTTAAAGGGTGTGGAATGTTTCCTAAAGCAGCATCTATATAACAAGTTGTGTCTTTAAATGATGAGCTACTAGTGTTAGTGACATACTTTAACTTGTTTAACTCAGTTCAACGATCTCCCTTTTCCACTCAACATTTTCCCATCTCTTACCTCCTAGATATCTTATATTGTATCTTGAACCTGGAAAACAATTGGTGTCTTCAACTTAAAAAATTAAAATGACACTATTTACTCCCTATTGTGTTTCCTGGGCTATGATGGGTATTAAAAAGGCCTAAGAATATTGGGGAGTCAAAGGTCCTTTGATCATAAAATGGGCATGTGTCACATCTACTAATCTCCACCACAATACCTAAGTACCACTATTCTCCCTTTAATTTTGGAATTATTAGTATTCAAGTGAGATCCCCATTGCACTCTCTAATTTAGCATTTGTTTTGTCCAACAGCCTCCAAACCATCAAAACTGTTGCTTCCACTATCTGGTATGGAAAGCATGTGTCAGTTTCCTAGTGATTAAATGGATACAGCCAATGATACTTGAATTTCAATTGTATTTTTGGGACCCAGCAGCAAGAAGCTAACAGTGGGCTTTTGGAACTAGAAGTTTATTTTGGAAGTAGAAGACAGTTGGACAGGGCTAAGTTGGAGCTGCTGCTAAGGCACATTCCCTAGAAGAGGACCAGCATGGGTCACTTCTCATACAGGGTTAATCAGTAATACCCCAAAAAGTAGCATTGCCCAGCAGAGCACTCTAACCATATGCCCAGTTAAGAAAAAATAATTTTGCCTTTTCTCCATAATCCATTCTTTCTGATTCCAAATTTAAGAAGCTAGAATCAGAGGCAGGATAAAGAGTAAAGTAAATTTTCTTCCCCTTTCCCTGACTCAGGTTCTAGCTAGGAGGAGATAAACTGGATGATGAGTGACTGAGGTTTTAATAACTGTAGATGACTGGGAAGCTAAGGAAGTCTGCTCAGATATTCTTAGAAGATGTGCTACTCATCAAGGAAATGAGATTTAACTTAGTCCTGGTTGGGGCAGTGGCTGATGAAAAAAGCAAAATAATTTCATGTTATGTCCTACTGAGTTAAACATTTAAGCATCCTGGTTATACAAACCTATTCAAAGCTTTAGATAGTGAGGCACAGTTGTAGTGATGGGTTACTGTTTCCATTAGTATTTGATTTTTAAAACTCAGGCACAAGTTATAATCCAAAAGGATATTACACTAATATCCTACTACTGCCTGAATATAAATCTCTAACTGCTTACAGAAGTGCCTACATAAGTAGATTCCAACCTTTTCAAAGTATCAAATAGATAATTAAGGGCACACTTAATTATTTTTCTAGTTTGCATCTAGTCTTCTGTTCTCCAACCCATTTTGCATTGATTTTTTTTACTAACTGAACTTTTGTTATTTATTTTTTTACTTGTCTATCAGATATCTCTTCTAAATATTACTCATAATTTTATCCCCTTAAAAGTGATAACATTGTCTATGTTGTTCATAGATATATTCCCAGCTCCTTGCTTATAATAGATATTTATAAATATTTGCTGATTGAATGTAACCTTTGCCATACATTTTATATATAATTTCTACTAAACAAATGACATTTCATAAATTCTAACTATTTCATTTCCCATTAGCTCACCAGGATTGCTACACAGAAATGATGTCCTTCCAGGCCAGATCAGAGAACCTTAATAAATCTTTGCTTTATCAAGTGCTTAATGTAGAATTTCCCAAGTTGGAAATGACTGCTCAATAAAAATGAGTGATAACTATTGCCAAAATAAAATGAATGTGTTAGATCAAAACTCCATAGTAAATGTATATAAATGCTGGATGTCAAGATGATGATAATGTTAATTTTCCTCAATTTTCACTTTTACCTGGTAATATGAGCTATAATCTCATTTACTATACTTTATAGATATTAGTTATGATCAGAATAAGCATCAATATCAAGTAGTACATCACTACATTATCATGTTTATCAAGGTCATAACATTGGATATACTATAATTTATTAATCTTTTATTTCCAATGAGTTCTTGGAAACAATTCTAAACATTCATGAAAACTATGTTTTGTCTACATTTCTATTTTGTTTTAAATATGGAAATTCTAACATTTTATGGAATTTCATGATACTTTGCACTTACCTTCTGTATAAATCCAAAGCTATTGTTCTTTTTTACAGTGAAAATGACTATGAGAATTATTAATATCACTCAAATACTTCTGTTTGACCCTTAGTCTAGCTTTGTAGGGCATCTTCAATTTATATTCAACTTTAATTTGGGAAAGAAAAGGAAAAAATAAATTTGAGAACCTTGGAAAACAATATAATCTCTAATACTTATTTTAATTGTAATGTAGTAGGTGGTAATATTTCTTACACTAAAATCAAGTAAGAAAACCTCTTGACACGAAGTTGAAATATTAAACCAGTCAAGATTCTAACCAGATTCCTACAAGATTCACTTGTAGGAATATGAACTTGAAGGATTTGAAACCTGGTTGAGATGGATCATATCATTCAGAAAGTGATAAATACAACTCACCATGAAGAAAAAATGTAAATAATCAGAATACTTTGGAGTTCTTCTGAACATTTGTCTTAACTCTCAATGGCCACTAGATGGCACCTCGTATTTGGCAACCATAACCGTTCCTTATTTCTAGAGCTTAAAATAACTGTAGCACCAGGTCAGTTCTGACAGAGCAAAAATTAATCCTGCCACGGACATCTAACACTTCCTTGTCAGATATCTAAATTTAAAATGCATGTGATTTTCTGGTCACACACAAAAATATATAATACCTTGTTATTGTTCCCAGGTGTTCTGACTTCTAAAGGAATTGTGAGATTTAAATTTTCTTAAATAGGGTATTTGATTTACATCACTCTAAAGTAGGGATTGGAACCATATTACTCTAAATATGTTTCATTCTTTAAGCATTCATTTTATTTTTCCAAGGCCAAATTAAGTTATTTAAAATTGGTTTTGTAAACTTAAAAGGCAATTGTGATCAATACTACCCTCAAAGGATTTAGAGTCATAGACCCCTGTTTTACTCATTTATTAATTCTTCAAAAACCATTTTGGAACAATATCTATGACAAAAGCATGTGCTGTGTATAGCAGCATCTGAATGTACTACTGTTTATCTTTCCAGAATACTTCATTATGAAGTAAGAAATAAAAAATTAAAACTATCCATTTAAATGCATGTCTAATGCCTAATAGCTTCTCTAAGAATGGCAGCTTTCAAGTAATTGTAGATTTTGTTAGTGAATCCAGAATAATACAATTTACATTAAAAGAAGTTAATTTTAGGGTGAAACAAGAACATAGGTTTGTTTGTTTAAGTGTTAACTGTTACTGCCGAGATGTTTGTCTTTTTTCACATGGTTGTGTATTTTCTTTTTGTTGTTGTTTTTGGGAGGAAGTTTTTTTAGTTTTTAATTTTTTATAGTTGACACACAATGTTACATTATTTGCAGGTATACAACACTGTGGCTCTACCTCTCTATGCATTATGCTATGTTTACCTCAAGTGTAGGTAGCTACCATCTGTCCTAATACATCGTTACTGCAATATCATTGACTGTATTCCCTATGCTGTGCCTTTACTCCCATGATTTATTCATTCCAAAACTAGAAGAATGGTACTCTATTTTCATACTGAGGGACAATTTAGTTGTGATATGGCCAAGGGAAGACAAATGCTCTCTTGCTTTCAGAAATACCATTTTCTCTTGCTTCTTCATTTTTATTTATTTTATATTGTTTTTATCTTTTCTTATTCTATTTTGCTGGCTCATTTCCTTTGCCATCTTCTTCTCACTCACCATATTCTCTTCTCTTCTCTTCTCTTCTCTTCTCTTCTCTTCTCTTCTCTTCTC